ATGGCAGGCGCGTCACGCTCATCACAGCCCAGCTCTCACAAACAAGCATTGTATCCCGCTCCAGCAAGCAGCAAAACTGCGGCCTCAATTACCAGCCAGCCCGACCTCTTGGTCCTTGCACCCGGGGAGGAAGGGGGGGGGGGGATTACATGGAGAAAATCCATGTAATCCCTGCTGTAGTGTAGTCCAGGCATCAGGATGGCGATCTGGCACCTTGGTCTTGTCGAGCTCTGTTTATTCAGACCTCGATAATTAAAGGTCTAATTTAATGTGACCCTGTAGTTTCCGTTAAAAAATGTAAACAACAGCACCCTGCAATAGAAAACTGTGAATGCTTACATCTCCAATGTGTAGCAAATTCAAATTCCTCTGTCTCTCAGAGAAGCAACCTCCGTCAAAGTCTTTAACATTTTAAACTCTTGACAGTGTCAAATTGCTGCATCCCCCACCACACTGTGGCTCTTTCTGCCAACCTCAACATCTCTGCTGAGTTCTGTACTGATGTAGGAACCGGGGAAAGGAGCCATAGGGCGGGCTGTGGGCCCAATCATTCCACAAAGTGTTGAATGTTGAAGAATGAGGATTTTGGGCTCGCTGCCTTAACATTTTTCAGATAAAGAAACACTGCTTTAATGTTAATTGCAGGTAAAAAAATATGCATTTATTTTTTTTTTTTTGTTAAGGACCTGTAAAGCATTGCACCCACGATCAGCAGATCGGGGTTGTAATGCCACAGCCCTGCAGACTGGGCTCTATAGGCTCTTTGCCTATACCTCCGATACGGGCAGGCAGTTACACTCTGACAGGAAGCTCAATGAACTACCTAGAGTGGTCAAGACCTCCCTGGTAGGCTGTCATCCATCCACAGTGTTCTGTGAATGGATGACGCAGCTGGGTAGGCAGAGCTTAGCACAGCTGCATTTTCTTTCAGATGACAGCTAGCGGGGGGAATAAGATCAACCTGCTAGCTGTCACATCAGCGGGTACAGGGGCCGATGCATTTGTAACAGGTTACATGTTACACCCTAACTAGGGGTGTAACATGTTACAAAAGGTGAACTTTTAACATGAAATCTTGTTGCTATGGGTCACTGCACTTTGTACATCGGCATATGTACGGTTATGTGTGCTGCATTATGTTAAAGTTATAAGCACTCACAGGATGCACATCACAAATGCCTCTGCACTTGTAAGCCATGACTAACTATAGTCTAACAGAAAAAAACTAATTGATGATGAAAAGTGCTATCAAATCTAATGTTCACATTTGGTATCTTTTCACTAGTAGTTCACTTGGCAGGAAATATTTAAGATGCCAAAATCCTTTGTTTTGTCATGAGTTTTATAAGGCTCTGGTTATCTTAAAAAGCAGCAGCAACCTCTACTGGCCAACATTATGTAAAACAGTTGCTGGCACTCTACACACCATATACACTGTATTTTATAATATATAAACATAACATAACATTTTGTTTTACAAAACAAAAATACATAATTGAACCACTTGCCGCCCCGCTACAGTACATTTACTGTAGCAGGCACAGTCATGAATATATAAATGTGATTGTGCCTGCCCTGGTTTAGGAGCATGCAGTTCAACCCTCCTATGACCGATGTATCTGCCAAACACAGCAAATCACTGTTACCAGTAACCGGGTATCATATGATCGCAATGATTGGTCATAGAGATCACATGATAACAATGTAAACAACCTGTCATGATATACTTTCCATTCATGAACAGCTTGCTTACTGTAGTGGTCTGTGATTTGATCACTACAACACCAGTCATATAATGATGCTGTACTGAACTGGTGGCAGTATGTAAAAATAAAAACAAAATTGTGAAGAACAATGTTAATTTCTTAATTTTTCAAAAAAAAAAGTGACAACAAATTACAACTTTAAAAAACTCGCCATACTTTTTATTACCTCAGACTGTCTACTTTCCAAAAAGGGGTCATATGGGGGGTATTTGTGCTGTCCTAGAATTGAAGGGCCTCAGGAAATGAGATACATCAGGAAGATAAATGTTCAAATAAAATATATATATACATACATACATACACACACACACACATACACATACATATATATATATATATATATATATATATATATTTATACACACACACACATACATACACATACATATATACATACACACACACACATCTACACACAAGATAGCATATAGAGGCTATAACTTTCACACAAACTAATCAACATACACCTTCATGGGACTTTTTCTTACCAAAAACATGTAACAGAATACATTTTGACCTAAATTTATGAAGAAATTTGACTTTATGAGATATATTTTATAACAGAAAGTAGAAAATATTGTGTTTTTGTCTGTCTTTTACATTTGCATAATATAAAATAAAAGCCCAGCGGTGACTAATTACCACCAAGAGGAAAGCTCTAGTTTGTGTGAAAAACAATTATCTAAAACTTAATTTGAGTACAGTGTTGCATGATCACACAATCTCTAGTTAAAGTAGCGCCATGCCAAATAGCAAAAAATTACCTGGTTATGAAGGGGGTAAAACCTTCCAAAGCTCAAGAAGTGAATTAGCATCTCTCTTTCAAAAGAAAGGATAATAAATATAAAACATTGAAACCTGTGGGCACAAATAGGCTCTCCTGTTGTGTTCTGCCAAAAAAGCAAAGAAACAGCAGCTCCTTCAGAGATCACAGGAAAAATGCAGCTAGTATGGAGCAGGATAGGGATGCACTGAAATTTTGGTGGCCGAAACAGTCGGCCGAGAACAACACTGCCGAAATGGAAAAAAAAAAGCACCGATACAGGTGCCAAAAAAACCCGCCCCTCGCCGCCAATCGGTAGTTCTCAGCCGTACCTGAAAAAACCATCGATCCCAGCGCTGGGCATACAGATGAGTGAAGGAAAGATGGCTGCCACTCATCTCTATGCCCTTGGAGGACCGGAGTGATGTCACTTCCCATTCCAGCCATTTTTTTTTTTAAACACTAGATCAATGCTTTACATTGCAGAGGAGAGATGTGGGGTCTTATTGACCCCATATCTCTCCATAAAGAGGATCTGTCACTAATATTTCTATCACAAGGGATGCATGCATTTCTTGTAATAAGAATAAAAGTGATTAGTTTTGTTTTTTTTTTAAAGGGACAGTGCAAAAAAAAGAAAAAAATTAAATAAACAATAAAAAAAAGTTTAAAGTGGCCCCGTCCTCCCGTGCTCGCAGGTAGTGGTGAACGCATACGTAGGCCCAAAATAGCCCAAATCAGTTATTGTTTAGTTGGCAGGAAAGTTATAGAGTTCACAAACTATGGTAAACATCTAAAAATTGATAAATCCTGATGTACTGACAGCTGATCTCATTTCTTGACGCCCAAAAATACCAGGACAGTACAAGTACTCCCCCAAAAAGACCGCTTTTCAGAAAGTAGACAGTCTGAGGTATTTTTAGTAACAGGCATGGCATGTTTTTTGAAGTTGTCATTTGTGGAAAACGAAAAAAATGAAAAAAAAAAAAAAAAAAAAACATGTTCACAAAATTTTTTTTTTCTTTATACATACTGTCACCAATGCAGTACAGTGTCCTCATAACTGGCCTGGCGAGGATCAGGAACACTGACTGGCAACAGTATGTTATAAAAAAAAATAGATTTTTAAAACATTTTTAAATATTTTTTTTTTCTACTCCTGTGACCAGAGCAATACAATGTTACCATAGTAAAATTTTACTACTCTGGGTAAGTGATTAGGATTTTTTTTTTTTTACACATTATGATTGGTATAAAGTAAGCATTTTTTACTGAATGAAACGGATTCATGCAGTAGTTTTTGTTGTGATCAGCTGTGATTGGCCATAGCTGATCACATGCTACAGAGTGGCTGTAATTGGCACAGTATGTACATGTGATCAATCACAACTAACAGCACAGTTGTAAGCAATGAATGGCATGAAAGGAAGCCATTCACAACTGTCATGTGATCTGCTGTGATTGGTCACAGCGATCACGACATTGGCAGCGGGCCACTGTAGTGATGACCATGTCCGGTGGACACAGCCAGCGACAGATTGCACCGAAGCGTGGCCCATGGAGCGCACACAAGGTGCAATCCTCGGAGGACGTCATATTCCAGGATAATAGGGTTCCTGTTCAGCCGTCATATTACAATAGTCCGGGCAGGAAGGAATTAAATGAGAGCAGCAACGAATCTTCATCGTGACATCATCTGCCCCTCCTCTCTACCTCACCCAATCAGAGCCCACCTTGTAGTCATTCACAAATACAGGTAGTTCATGGGTGGCAGGGGTAAAGAAGTGCCTGATTCTCTTTTATCTCTGGCAGCAGAGAGAAGTCACTCCTACCACTTTGGAAGAGGACATCTAGCGAATGCTACTAAACTGGATTGTGGTGTCTCCAGCAGCCAGTTATTGCATTTATGGGGGGGGGGAGGGGGGGGGGGGGGGGGGTGGGGGGGGGGGTGAAGATCAGTTTTTTTACTAACCCGGCCCGCAAAAAAGATGGCCATACGTGGATCAAAATTCGCCCACCTCAGCAGGAACTGGCTGAATTTCAATCCATGTATTCCCGTTCCCATTCATGAGAAGTTGATCTATTAATTGACTTTTCATGAACAGGTTTGTTGGAAAGTGTCCACTCCATCAGCACATGCAGCCAATGGGCTGCATGTGCTGATCAGTGTATTCTGATGGCGGGGGGAGTACCGCTGTCAGAATACATCAATATAGTGGGGAGAATTTCTCCATCCACCTTGAATGTGTGGATGGAGAAGTTTAGGTCTGTTATGCGACATATTCCTGAAGTTCTGCTTTCACCCACCAACATCTGCACATACTTAAAACACTTGTTTTTAGAGGGCTAAACTTCATGCACCAAAGGTATTCTGAAGGCCTAAGGCCACCGTTTACAAGATAGGAGGAGGTAAGACAATAATGCAAGATAACAAAAGACAACACAAACATGTTGTAAATGATTCTTTTCACCTCAAAGTCTTTTGGATGAAACATGTTCTTAATAATTATAACTCTTTCATGACGTTTTCTGGCATCAGCATTCTTTTCGGGCCTCCAATCTAGTTGTCTATGTGGGACAGAAAAACAAAAGTGACACTCTCAAAAAAATCTAAATAACACAAGTCACGGGCAAGAAAAATTTCAATGTGTTCTTTTTTTACTGCACACAGTGGCCAGTCTGCTTTCTATTCCAAAACTGGGAACTCTAAACAAGAACCAGTTCAGCTTCAGAGGGAGTGAGGTGCAGGAGGGGCTGCTGATTACTATGGTTAGGTACGCTAATACAAACCATGTAAAAAAAAAAAAAAAAAAAAAAACTTGAAATATTTAAATATATATACTGTGGTACAGTGTTCAGTGTGGACAACTGAGCTATAGTAATAAACAGCAACCAAAGAGGAGTATTTTACAGTTTTGCCCATGGTAAACTGATGATAGCAGAAATTTGACTAGCAATGCATTAACATGTGGAGGCTTAGTTTACACATATAGTTGGCGGCAGTAAAAACAGGCAGTGGAACCACATTTCTACCACCCTGCAAAGCTGCAAAGGCAGCCCTACCCTAGGAAATACAAGTCGCAGTTGTAATGGTTTGCAACATGGACTTTTAGAGATTAAAAGAGGCGGTGAAGAGGCAACTTTATACCTCATCGCCTGTCATATGCCCTCAGAAAAGCAATCCATTGTTTAAATAAAAAAGAAGGTTTACAGGGTATATGCAGTGCATTCATAAAGTGCTCATACCCCTTTCACTTTTTTCAATTTTTTTAGGTTTCAGCCTGATAGTATAATTGCCCTCCTGCACAACGAATCATTGGGAAAAATCAGTATTCTGCTGTTTCTCTGCTTCCTGCTGACACACTCCCTGCAGTCTCCACCCCCAGTTCTCTAAGCCCCTTAGGCAGTTGAGAACAGAGGCCATGTGATCACTTATAAAAAATTTATAATATTTTTTATACTGTATATACACAAAATTTTTCCTTGTACCTCTATTGTAATCTACACTCAGTACCCCATAATGTAAAAGTAACAACAGCATTTTAGAAATGTCTATGAATTTATTAAAAATAAAAAAAAAAATGAACTAATCACACTGGCATAAAATTGATAAATAAAAACAAAAAACAGCGTGCCTCCCCCCCCCCCCCAATACATACCAGGCTCTTCGGGTTTTAAGGGGAACCCCACGCCAAAAAAAAAAGCGTGGGGATCCCCCCAAATCCAAAACAAACCCTTAGGTCTGGTATGAACGTTGAGGGAATCCCACGTCACTTTTTTATTTTGGTGTGGGTGTTCCTCCTGAAATCCATACCAGACCCTTATCCTGACATGCAGCCCGACAGGCCAGGGAATGGGGGGGGGGATGAGTAGAGTAGGCATACTGGGTCGATGGTGTCACAAGGGGGCAGGGTCACATAATTTAGTGGCAGAGCTGTCAGACAACGGGAGCCAGCGTCGGGTGCAGAGTTGTCATCAGTTAAGGATGTGGCGGCTGGCCCGCTGCTTAACTAGCTATTGTTAAGGCAGACGGCAGCCACCTGCTCCTACCATTTGTGTTAGAATCTGACTTGCCAATTCGCATCAGAACCATATCTAAATTACTGCTGAAGAGCTACTTTGGAAATTCGCACTACACATGTGTGAACCTAGGCTAACACTTGTTATATGGAAATATATTTAGAACAGCTATGCTCTGCAGCTTTTCAGCTGGGTCACAAGCAGTCAACTACATTATGAAACATTTAGTTTGATGTAGTATACACATTAAAAACAGCACTTCACTTGGGTCATCAGACTATTCACTTCTTCCTAACTATGACTGCCAATCCACAGGAACGCCAATGTGCATACAGCATCTAAAGAAGGTAATAAGAGAATAATAAGGTAGGTGTAATAGTACAGAAAACTGCCAAACAAAACCTGTCCTGAGAGGAATAGTTAGGCTGCCTTGATGACCTCCTTCACAAAATGTGAATCTAGGGGCTGTACAAATTTCTAAATCACTGGAAAATATATGCAGATCCTGATCTCTGATTGAGGGCCAGGATTGGAGACCAACATATTTCTGTAAGTTTCCCCTTTAGCAATCAGTAATATATTCTGGGATCCTCTGTAAAGCTCTAAAGCGTACAAAGTGTACAGGTTAGTGTTGCTATAAGTACCAAAAAATTGTAACCATGCTCAAGATTCTGCATACTTTTGCTGCTGTGACAATTTCTTCCTGTAGTCCTTAGATTTCTTCTTCTTTTTTGATGCATCATATTCCCCTTTGAGCTGGAACTTTGCACTTTCCACATGAAGTCTGTATCCTCTGATTTCATAATCATCAAGAATTTTTAAAGCCAGATCAACAGATTCTCTCTAGAAATGAAAAATACAAAGTTTTATGTCACATGACCAGCCCAGATACTAAATCACACTGCTAAAATACTGTTAATCTAAAACTGGCCATACAATGCTTACGCAGTAGGCTGAATGGGAAAAATAACAGATTCATTTAACGACACAAACGAGGTGGGTAAAGGAAGCCACCATCCATTCCCTTCCAGGACACTATATGTGACACCTGATCAAGAAAAAATCTCCAATGTGCCCCTTTGACAGAAGTCAATCACACAATCAGCTTCATTTGAGCAGGAATGCCACACACTGAAATGTAGATGGTTCAGTAGGGAACTTCAGTTGGTCTATGGCCAGCTTTAGGCTCCATGTACACGGGACATTTGGAAAACACTTCTGAATGATGGAAACTGACTGCTGGAAAACATAGGTTAAAAAACGTCTGTTTAGCCGCATTGGCATACAGCGTTTATGAGCGTTTGCATTTAGAAGCATTTTTTTTTTAAAGACAGCCTCAGGAGACCTTCCAAAAATGCCCAGAATGCACTGAAAAACAGTAAAAAATTAACTATTTCAGACATTTTGAGAGAAATAGAGCAGAAGCAGAGAGAGCAGTATTTGTTGAGATTAGCTTATTTTTTGTGGTGTTTGGATGTGTTCCAGCTCATTTCTGTGAAATGATTGCAGTAGTGTCTATCATATTTTCTTTCATGCGAAACCTCAAAGTATGGTGTACCAGGTCCATTTGAGTACCAGGAAAACGTTTTGCATGCATTTTTCATGATGAAAGACGGCTCTGGACAGCATCTGGAAATGAAAGAGTAAAAAAAAATTTCCAAACGCTTATAAACGCGGTTAGCCACATTTACAAGCGCTTGAAATGCTGATAAAATCTTATTCTGAACGCAAGTTTGGTGCATTCAAAAAAAACAACAACTGTAAACGACTGTATTCAACAGAGTACATGGACACATAGGAAAACATTAGGGAGAGTTCAGGGGCTGCTGAAAAAAATGCAGAAAAGCTCCTAAACATGAGTTTATCAGCTGCAGTGTACATGGAGCCTTAGTGTACATAAGCATTTCTTTTAGTTCTCCTATGTTCTTGACTGAAATGCGGATGGTTCAGTAGGGAACTTCAGTTGGTCTATGGCCAGCTTTAGTGTACATAAGCATTTCTTTTAGTTCTCCTATGTTCTTGATTGAAATGCGGATGGTTCAGTAGGGAACTTCAGTTGGTCTATGGCCAGCTTTAGTGTACATAAGCATTTCTTTTAGTTCTCCTTTGTTCTTAATTTGAAGCAAAATTTAAATGGGGCCCCCAGACCTCTTGCCATATTATGCAAAGTCTATGCTCCCTCTTGTCACTTTGTTACTGATGTAGCCACTTCTTTTTCCTGGTTCGGAGTAGTTACTGTATCTCCAACCACAATGTAACTGTTGCACATGTGCATGGGGGACACTTTGACCCGGCTTTTTCACTCTCTGTTATACATGGGCTGATTGACAGAAGGAGAATATCCAACTGTGTGCAGATAAAAGTAAAAGGCATTTGCGTTTCACAGCTGAATAACTAAACTGAATACTGGCATAATTTTTTATGTGAAGATTCTAAATTCCTTTAAGTAAATCAGCATCAAAGTCTCTTCTGCTTCTTCTGTTGGTGTAACAAGGCAATCACGAACCCTGCAGCATCTACCAAAAACTTGAAATATCAGCTTTGACTGGACTAACCCTTTGAAGTAAACTAGTTATATAAATGTAACAGGCAGCCATTTTGTGGGCTGGGCCAATATATCAAAGGATTTCACTAACTAGCTTATGAAGAAATCATATCTCTGCAGGCTGAGGCATATCAGACGTGTCATTCACAAGAAAACTGTCCAGTCCACTACTTCACACATGACAGGAATACTTTACGTAGACTAGCACACTACTTGATAGAGGTCTTAAAATGCATTTACTATGTTATAGGGAATATATATATATATATATATATATATATATATATATATATATATATATATATATATATATAACTGTGAATTGTGACTAAACAGTACCCTTAACATTTACATTTTTTTCTTAAAGTGGAGCTCCACCCAAAAGGGGAAGCTGTACTGGTTTGCACACCCCCTCCCCCGTACTTGGTTTTGATAGGATGTTTGGCTCCCCTCCTTCCTCTTGCATCCTTTTGGGACACTTCAAAGGTCCCAGAAGACTACGGAACCAATCACAAGGCTTCACTTCTGGTTTCCCTTACTTGCAATGCCAATGACGTGAACCCGAAGACTAGTGAAGAACTAGCCCGAGTGACGACAGTGCTGGACCCCTGGACAGGTAGGTGTCCTTATATTAAAAGTCAGCAACTACAGTATTTGTAGCTGCTAACTTTTAATTTTTTTTTTTTTGGGGGGGGGGGGGGGGGGAAAGAGTCTGGAATTCCTCTTTAGACTGGTTCTGAAAAACAGTAATGTCTGGTATGAAAGGGGGGCTCCTGTGCCTACAGCCTCATAGCTGTATAAAAGAGGTCTAAGGCACTGTTGCCTCTAACATATCTCAGTAAATTTGGAGATTTGTTAAAGTCACCACTGTTGTCTTGTTGGAGGCTTTGAAATAAAGCAAAACACATATCTCAACCAAGACAGCTCCCTCCAAACAGTGCAGAACATGGCATAACAGGCCAGTAATAGAGGAAGATCAGTTCCAAAAATAGCACAGGCAATACAGGGGTGTGGAAATTTAAATAAAAAAAACGACTTGTCCATGGACTAAATAGGGGTCCCAATCTGTCTCTCATGACAATCTGCTTGTATTGATTAAAAAAAAAAAAAAAAAAAAAAAAAACAGACATAATTCTAACCAAAACCGTATTTAAATCTGAGGTACTTTTAGGAATGTGTGGGGCTTTTAAAAATGAAAGGGGCTTTATTGCAGCCTAAACGGTTAATATTTTTAACATTGCGCTGGTTATCTCCTCCTCACCTCCCTGCCTGTCTGCAGCACCGCACCCAGGGACTAGCAGGGAGGGGAGAGACCTTGCAGTGTAATGACCACCAACTGGGTGCTCATCGGGAAAGGGGAGTGTCTGGCTTTCTTGGCTGCTCAGTACTTGCGCTTGCTGAGCAGCCAAACCAAGCTCCGGTGTCCACTCTGTTAAAAGATAAGTTCACCTTTAAAAAAAAAAAATTATAATTTTAAATGTATTCATTTTTAGGAGCCTGTAAAGCATTGCACCAGTGAGCAGCAAATCAGGGGAATAATGCAGGACTACTGCAGACTGTCAGTGTAATCTGTCTGTCCATACATCATACGGACAGACAGTTTCACACTGGCAGAAAGAATCAAAGAACTAGAAGAGTGCTCAACAGCACCATAGTATTTAATTGAGAACTACAAGCCAACATCCACAAAGGATGTCAGTACCCATAGTTAGTGCATTCACAACTTTGTGAATGGATGATGCGGCCAGGTGAGCAGAGCCCCACACAACCAGATCTTTTCAAAAAGTGACAGCTGGTACGAGGAACTTCTCTCTCAGGGTCCCTGAGGAAGTCAAGTGACCAGTGATGCAATACGTCGGGAGGAGCCTAGAGACCCCACGTCTGGTATCGCGGAACCCAAAAGTGTGGCTACAGGAGCCATATTTTATTTACATACGGTGTTTCACTATGAACTATCCTTTCTTCTTTTGAGCATTATATGCCCGAGTGGATATAGCAATTTTCGGGTCCCTTAAAAGGGACAGGAGGAGTGAAGTAGCTGCCAGCAAACATTATATGTTTTCTGAAAGCAGGCACCCAAGAGAGTAAAATAGTGGTAGTTCCAATTTTTTATGTCACATGATATTACCGCAAAGGTCTGGGAATCGCAAAACTTCAGTAAAAAAATACACTTGTTAATTTTAGGGCACAAAAAGGCAATAAATTTCCCATTTTTTGGTGAAATATAAAAGATGAGGTTGCACCAAGTAAATAGATACCAAACATGTCAAACCTTAAATCTACGTGTGCTCGTGAAATGGCGACAACTTTTAGTACCCTATATTTTATATAGGTGACACTTAACGCCCCCTACAGGTTACCAGTGTTATGGAGGAGGTCTGGTGCTAGAATTATTACTCTCATACCGATGTGCACGGCGATATGTAACGTGTGTCACAATCGACGTTATCACATGTAGGCACCCCAACGTGTGTTTACGTTTGTACAGGTGTATATGCGGGGTCCTCAAAATTTTGGGTGGGTGTTATGTGTTTGGGAGTAACTTTTTACAATTAAAAAGTTACTTTTTTTCCTTTTTTTGCATCACATGGGGGACAAAAAGTTCCCTATGTGATGATTTTTTGGTCAAAGAGACCCTATGTCTCCTCTGGGCTCGGTGCGATGTGCACTTCATTACATTCTTTCCCGGCCTAGACAGCTAGGAACTCTGTCAACGGGGTCCCGGATAACAGCAAGACGGGGGAGGAGAGCGAAGTGGAGAGCGTGTGTGTCCACTCTCCTTCATCCCCACTACACACCAGAATCTGCAGAGCTGGCCTGTAGATGGGCAAGCAGAACCCAGATTAAAACCTGCAAGTGTTCAAAAATTGTGATCATTAACCTATTTATATTACCTCAGTGCCACAGAGTTATGCAATGTAGATATATTCATTATTATACACCATCACACTATACATGGTGCTGCTATACTGTCTTGAAGATGAAATTCAGGCTAAGCAAATATTGTCTGAAATACAAAAGGCAAGTTGACTCTTTCTTGAATCTTGGTGGATTTCTTCCAGGTCTGTGCAGTAATCCAGTGTAAAACTTTTCCTCTGTGCAGGAGCTTCTTGTAATAAAGACCAGTCCCTGCTTCTCTCCTCTTGTTTAAGGTGATTGGTCTTGTATCTTCCCCCTGTAGTTTTCTGCAGGCAGCCTGTAGTGGGTGGGCATGCTGGATTCCTCCTACAGCTCTGTATAGGCTATGTGCATCCCAGTGATGTCACTGCTCTTTTTACAAGGTAAAGACTGGGCTTGTATAGGTATTTGGTACACAAAATGTGGACTTGCATTCTTTGTGCTACTGAGGAATATATTTATAATACATGTTTTTACACGTAAGTATTTTTGTGCCATATCTGTGGGATCCCCAAGGAAGCTGGAAATCACTGTAGTAGCTTTTAGATCAGTGCCAAGCAGCTTCCTTGCTGCTTACTGAACAGAGTTGGTTGCTCACTCAGCACAGGCAAAGTGTTCTCTGACTGAACAAAATAGACATATCTCACTGCCCCTCATCACCACCTCACCCTGTCAGAGAACGCTTTGCATCCATAGGGAAAGTGCTCCTTGAATAGCACCCATTCCGAGCAAGTGACCGCCTATGTTCATAAACCACAGGAGGATCAAAATGTCAACAAAGCTGTTATGAATTAATTCATAACAGCTGTGTTGACTATGCTGTGATTGGCCCACAGCTATCACATGGTACCTGGACCAATCACAGCACTCTGTACCATGGGATTAGTTGTAGCCAATCATAGATCACTAGTGATCACAGCTGTCATGAGTGGTTAACCCATTCATAACAGTTGAAAACTTTGCTGTTATAATGAAGATCATTTTAACAGCAAAAGTGTAAAAGAAAAGAAAAACCCTGATCACCCCATCAGGAGTAGTAGTGTTAGAAATAGTGACACTGAACTACTAAGATGAAAGTACCCGCTTCCACTTCCGGCTCAGTTCGCTGCAGCGAAGTTCAGCCCCCTCCTTCCTCCCGCAGTCTTTGTGAACTTTCACAGGTCCCAGAAGACTGCCGGACCAATCAGGAGGCACAGCGCAACTTGCATATGCGCAGTAGGCACCAGGGTGTGAAGCTGCAAGTTGTCACAGCCTGGGGCCCACAGTTGAGATGCGCTGTGGAAGAAAGAAGGGATGGCGCAGGTGAAAACATCGCTGGACTCTGGGACAGGTAAGTGTATGTTTATTAAAATTTCACAAAAACTGTTGGAAACTCCGCTTTCATTTTCAAAAAAATTGTGATAAAAAAATTACACATTCAAAAAACTCATCATGCATCTTTCTAAATACTTCAGAAAAGGGGTCATTTGGAGGGAATTTGTACCATCCTGGCATTTTAGGGCCTTAAGAAATGAGATAGGCCATCAGTACATATATATATATATATATATATATATATATATATATATATATATATATATATATATATCATAATTTGTAGATGTTTTAACTTTCAAACAAACCAATTAATATATACCTACTGGGATTTTTTTTTATTTTATTTTTGTTAACCAGACATGTAGCAGAATACATTTTGGCCTAAATAATACATGACGAAATTTGATTGTATTGGATATGCGTTATGACAGAAAGGAGAAAATATTGGGGTTTTTTTTCAAAATTTTCAGTCTTTTTTCACTTATATCACAAAAAAAAAACTCAGTAGTGTTCAAATACTACCAAAAGAAAGCTCTGTGTGAAAAAACACTGCATGACCACACAATTGCCAGTTTTTGCTATTCAGCACAGTGCGGAATAGCAAAGAAAATGCCCTGGTTACAAAGGGGGTGAAACCTTCCAGAGTTCAAGTGGTTAAACATACTTATATTGGTCCAATGTAAAAATTGCCATATCTAAACTTCAGCTTTAACCTTCCCTCAATCTCATCTTTCCCTATTTTCAAAATAGACTAGTGTTTTTTTCATGTTTTGTCCTGTCCCCTAGAACATATTTTCACTTTCAACCCTTCTTAATACTCAATTATCACAAAAGTGCTCTAGTTAAAAGTAAACAGTAGTGTGCCAACGTTTTAGGTAGGTGTGAAGAAATGCTGTAAAGTAAGAATGCTTTCAAAAATATATATTTTAATTATTTTTTAACAATTTACAAAATGCAACATGAGTGAACAGAAGAAAAATCTGAATCAAAATTTGTTGTGGCCAACCTTTGGCTTCAAAACAGCATCAATTCTTACACTTGCAAAGTCAGAGATTTTGTAGGATTAGTGTCAGGTGTACGATTATCCAGTTATACCAATCAGGTGCTAATGATGATCAATTTCATATGTAGGTTGAAATACGGTCTTTAGGTGAAACAGAAACAGCTGTGTAGGAAGCTTTAAACTGGGTGAAGAACAGCCTAACTCTGCTACTAAGATGAGGTCATGGAAGACAGTTTCATGTTAAAGAGCATACACCATGGCAATACTGAGCACAGCAACAAGACATTGGCAAGGTCTCTCCCAGGCAAAGATTTCAAAGCAGACTTGGGTTTCAAGATATGCTATTCAAGCTCTTTTGAAGAAGCACAAAGAAACAGGCAACGCTGAGGACCATAGACAGTGGTCACCATGGAAACTTAATGCAGCAATTGAAAGACACATCCTGCTTACTTCCCTTTAACATTGGAAGATGTCCAGCAGTGCCATCAGCAGAGAACTGGTGGAAACCAGTGGGACCCAGGTACACCCATCCACTGTTTGGAGAAGTATGCACAAAAGATGTCTTCATGGAAGAATTGTGGACAACAAAAGCTATACCTCCAACATGAAAACAAGGCTAAGCGACTCATATGCATGAAAACATAGGAACTGGGGTGCAGAAAAAAGTCAGCAGGTGCTCTGGACTGATGAGTCAGAAGTGGGGAATATTTGGCTGTAGCAGGAGGCAGTTTGTTCACTGAAGGGCTGGAGAGTGGTACAATAATAAGTACAGGCAGATCTTTAGCCATTGTGCCATACCATCTGGGAGGCGTGTGATTGGCCCCACATTTATTCTGTAGCAGGACAATGGCCCCAAGCATACAGCCAAAGTCATTAAGAACTATCTTCAGCAAAAAAGTCCTGAAAGTGATGGTTTGGTCCCCACAGAGCCCTGATCTGAACATCGAGTCTGTCAGGGATTACATGAAGAAACAGAAGAATTTAAGGCAGCATCAACAGAAGTTCTGTGGTTAGTTCTCCAAAATGTTTGGAAAAACCTAACTGCTGATTTAATTCAAAACATATGTATGCAAGTGTACCTAGAAGCATTGATGCTGGCTTGAAGCAAAGTGTGGTCGCACCAAATATTGTTTTAATTTGGATTTCTCTTCTGTTCCTTTACTTTTCACGTTGTTCATTGATAAAAATAAACTACTTACTTCTGTTCTGAAAGCATTCTTAATTTACAGCATTTTTCACATGTGCCTAAAACATTTGCGTAGTAGTGTATAAACTGAAAACTCCCCAAAATCTATTTGCTGTATATAGTAAGTAGTTTGGTCAAGAGAAATTCTTTTGCAAGCTGCGGAGAGTGCGCATGTGCATACACTGGTAGACAGAAAATCTCTTTTGGAAGAAGGATTTAACCCCTTTCTGTCCAGCCCAGGCCTTTACACTGGGTGTGTGTGGGGGGGCAGGAAAGGCTGCCTGACCATGGATCTGCATGCCATCAGTACTAGATATCGTAAGCGGTCTATGATAGCTTGTTCAAAGAGCACAGTCAGTGCGATCTCAGCATAGAAGGCATATGTTCTGCCTGTAAGCCCACCTGCTTTGTTGTTGCACATATGCATTAGGTTGGCAGCAAGAGGTTAACCTTATCTGTATACATTGGATCATTCCAGGAAAACAGATAAGAGCTGGTTGGGAATGAGGGCAACCCAGTGAAGTAGTTATCTCTTAACTGCTTCCTGACCGCCCTATAGCAGAAATACTGCGTGATTTTGCATTTCCGGATAGGGGTAGGCACTACCAGCGCTGCCATTTGAGTCCGCGGCTGTCAATCACCAGGTCCCGGATTGCCAACAAGGGATTTGCTACCAAGTACTAAGTCATGTTTTGTGAAGGGGATCAAATACTTATTTCCCTCATGAACATGCAAATCAGTGCATCATTTGTTAGACATGCATTTCTTTTGAATTTTTGGTTGCAATTCTGTCTCAGTGTTACCTACCATTCGATTTTTAGACTGATCATTTCTTTGTGAGTGGGCAAACATTCAAAATCAGCAGGGGATCAAATACTTATTTCCTTCACTGTAAATCCTCAGGAGGGCAAGTGGTTAACATAGCCCCTTGCAGCAACCTCCAAAAGTCTTATATCCACCCAAAACTAAACTAACCTTGAGATAGCAACACAAGCCATCACCTTTCAGGTTCCCATCCATCCTTGTCTTTGTACAGTTTAATTTTGCATTCCTCTGTCTGCGGATCCCGCATAATGATGCCACACTTTGACATGGTTTCGATAAATTCATCATATGTCATATCCAAAGGAAGCCCTAACAAAAAAACATAATATCACGTTTATGCCTGAAAAAAGTAACAAATGACACACTGCTTTAAGAAAATGTCACTTGCACTAACCTGTAACATATACATTTGTGTTTCTTTCATCTTCCACGTTGAACCAGCCTGTTAAAGCAACATAAGCATACTTAGCTGTCCATCACAAAAAAGCTCAACAAATCAAATATTTTCTTTTTTAAATATTTAATTTAGCTTTTTGAGAGCATCAAACTTAGGTCCCTGACCAGGAATGTGCATATGCATAAACACAGAAAATCTTTGCTTCAACAAGGATGAAAACCCACCCTGGATGCACCTTCAAAGTCATAGAAGCTCCTGTATTTCCGTACCGATAGTTTTCTTAGGAGCACTAGTTAAAACCTAAGCTGTTAAGTTTCTAAGGTGCATTTCAGCTGCAACCATTATGAGGGGTCACAAGCTCCCTGCTGCTACTGGAAAACAAAAACAAAAAAAATTGCAAGAGGAGATAAGGAGACACCCTAAAGTGTATGTTGGGGGGAAGGGTTGGCAAACAAAAACCATAGTGGGTAGAAAGATAGCCATAAACTTTAGCAGGGAGATTTCACCTCTAATCTAAAAGCCCATTCACACCACTTACAGTGTGTTAAAATATATGTGTAATCTGCACATTACATGCGTTGGTGAACTACGGTGGCATTCATTTTAAATGTCACCCCAATGCATGGGAGCTGCTGGGCACACTACAATATAGCACAATGCACTGTGTCCTATACAGTGCAGTGTACTGCAAAAAAAAAAAACGTAGCCTACACCATTTCGCCATGCTTTAGTTTGAGAAATCAATTTGAAAAACATCCCCTCAGAATTTCTAGCCGTGGCCAACTCAAGTAAAGGCAGAAGATTCATGAAGCATTTACATTCTGGAATCCATCTTCCTTTAGCTCAGACATGTCTGCAGAAGGGTGGGCTTAGTGGAGAAAGCCCCTCCTCCCCTGCTGTATGGCATACCATAGAAAAATAAATTCCAGCAAGAGAAACAGAAGACAGGCTTAGGTTGTTAACTGCATTATGTGTAGTGGCTAGCTGAGTGAATAAAGATCAGATAAGGCCCTAGGCAAACAAACAATCAGCTCTGGCCCCACCAAATCTTATACATATCACTTTGTGCTTTGTGTCCACAGCATGAGACAGACTCATTTCACACTTTATATCTGTCATACTGTGTTTCATGTTATTCACCATATTCCACAGCCCCCATCCCTTACCTGAACAGCAGGGTTTTTCTCTCCACAGCATTCTATATACAGTTGTGTTCAAAATAATAGCAGTGTGTTGAAAAAAGTGAATAAAGCTCAAAATCCTTCTAATAGCTTTTAGTTCCATACACACAAATGCATTGGGAACACTACACATTCTATTCCAAATCAAAACATGAAGAAAAATATATCAAATGTGTGTTCCTCTAAAAAAATTGACGAAAAGTGAATATTAGACTGTTCAAAAAAATAGCAGTGTTTGTATTCTTCTTTACAAACTCAAACGTTCACTACATAAACTGAAAAATGTTTGAAGATTTTGCTTTCCTTTGAATCATTTAATTAATATTTAGTTGTATAAGCACCGTTTCTGAGAACTGCTGTACATCTGTGTTGCATGGAGTCAACCAACTTCTGGCACCTGTGAACAGGTATTCCAGCCCAGGATGATTGGACTACATTCCACAGTTCTTCTCTATTTCTTGGTTTTGCCTCAGAAACTGCATTGGTGATGTCACCCCACAAGTTTTCTATTGGATTAAGATCCGGGGATTGGGCTGGCCACTCCATAACGTCAATCTTGTTGGTCTGGAACCAAGATGTTGCACGTTTACTGGTGTGTTTGGGGTCGTTGTCTTGTTGGAACACCCATTTCAAGGGCATTTCCTCTTCAGCATAAGGCAGCATGACCTCTACAAGTATTCTGATGTATTCAAACTGATCCATGATCCCTGGTATGCGATAAATAGGCCCAACACCGTAGTATGAGAAACATCCCCATATCATGATGCTTGCGCAACCATGCTTCACTGTCTTCGGTGTACTGTGGCTTGAATTCAGTGTTTTGGGGGTCGTCTGACAAACTGTCTCCGGCCACTAGACCCAAAAAGAACAATCTTACTTTCATCAGTCCACAAAATGTTGCGCCATTTCTCTTTAGGCCAGTCAATGTGCTCTTTGGCAAACTGTAACCTCTTCAGCACGTCTTTTTTTTTAATAGTGGGCCTTTGCGGGGGCTTCTTGCAGATAGCTTGGCTTCACATAGGCGTCTTCTAATTGTAACAGTACTCACAGGTAACTTTAGACCTTCTTTGACCTTCCTGGAGCGGATTGTTGGCTGAGTCCTTGCCATTTTGGCTATTCTTCTATCCATTCGAATGGTAGTTTTTCGCTTTCTTCCATGTCTTTCAGGTTTTGGTTGCCATTTTAAAGCATTTGCGATCATTTTAGCTGAGCAGCCTATCATTTTCTGCACTTCTTTATATGTTTTCCCCTCTCCAATCAACTTTTTAATCAAGATACGCTGTTCTTCTGAACAATGTCTGGAATGACCAATTTTCCTCAGAATTTCAGAGAGCATGTACAACATTTGCTGCCTTCCTTCCTTAAATAAGGGCAATAATTGCCACCTGTTTTTCATAGAATGAATGACCTCACTAATAGAACTCCACACTGCTATTATTTTGAACATGCCCCTTTCAATTAGTGATTCAATTACACAGAATCAGCAACATGCATGTCATGACTGTTGGGTCTGTTGGATTTCTATTACTCTACTACACCTGCTAGTAAATTATTTGCCATGTAGAAATATCATTTCTACCAAAAACAGTGATTCATCAGGTTAGTGATGTCTGACTGCTATTATTTTGAACACAACTGTATTGTGACTTCATCCACATCAGGTTTTGTGGATGAAGAACTGCCACTACAGCAGAGGAAGTCATAGTTCGCAATGGAGCACAACTGAGGTCATATCTCCGCACTTGTAATCCAATGATTACTTAACCTAAGGCTACAGGAATAGTTTGCAGCAACCTGTGCATTGCATCCATGATTCACTGATATCGGTTGCAATGCTTAGCAGGCTCCAAAGACAAAAAAATATATATATATATTATTTTTGCAATATGGCTGAATGTATTTTTATTTTCTATTTACATAAATTGAAATATGCTTTTAAGGTAAGGTACATAAATTTTTTTTCTTTACAGGCTGAAGTGATGGCCGTAGAGAAAGGATCTGCACTCCTGGTGCAGTCAACCTTTACACAGGACCCAACAATAAAAATAGAGGTTCCTTTTTGCACTGTATACCTACCTGGGTCGGCTTTTCTTTTTTCTCCCTTCCCTTTTGGTTCTGCTTGTTCTGGTTCGGGTTTAGGTTCTTCTTTTGCTTTCTCTTTATTTTTCACTTCCTTGGAAGCTGGAGACGCGTGTGGACGTTCAGGAGTAGAACCATCTTTATTATCTTCGGAAAACCCGTAGCTTGCTTGATACATTGCCAAGAAGTCATCACTTATCTATCAAAACCATGGAAAAGAAAACAAAAAAAAAAACAGAATACAATAAAGGGTTACCTTTGAGGGTAAAAGTGCAGAATAAAAATCCAGGTAGTGACCTTTTTTTATTTGACTTTTCCTCCCATGCAATGTTAGTGTGGCGATCTTCCCTTTGAGCTATTGTGGGACAGCCCCCCTACCCCCACCAAAACCCACTGGACAGTGCTTACAGCCATTGGCTGCCAACGATGATCGGATGATTTCCGAGGATGCCCGTTCTGTCAGACAGGCTGCTGTACACACTGGCCGAATATCAGCTGATCTCTGTTGAACCTTACCACCCTGTATGTTGTGCGAGTCCCACTGAGGAGAATTCCGTTCACTTCCTGTCTCAGAGATGCAAGGGGAAATCTCTCAAGAGTGAAAAGAATTCCAGTGGTACCCCAATGCACTAAAAGAAAGCGTCTGCAGCAACAACACAAGGTAACACACTACTGTGGTGTGCCATGCTAAAAAAAAAAATTTAAAATTTCAAACATGGTCAGGATCATGTGATTAAGCAGGCAAACCCTCCCACTTAGCACTCAAGTTGAGGAGCTCAATGCAATAGTTGCTCTCGATATCTAAAAACGTGAATCTGCAGTGATAATTGCTAAAATACACACAGTATATATTTGGCCTAAAAAGGATATTTTTACCCTACATGGAGTACCACATTAAGACTTCTGAACCTTATGCTTACTATAATATATCGGACTTTGTCATTTATCATTAAAGCAGTATTACACCCAAAAGCAAACATGTATTATACTGCAGCTTACCAATTCTTAGATGTGATGGCTGTATTAGTTTTCCTTTTAACGTCTTTCTTCTATTTCAGGTCACCTATTTCATCTGGTGATCCAGCTATTAAGTCTGTTGCGTTTCAAAAGATAAAGCTTCCTTCCAGATGCATCAGTTTACAAGAATGAGACAAACCATTTGCCACTGGCAGGAGTACATACAATAACCAGCTTTTATTTATGCAAAACCTTGTTTGCAAAAGGAAAAAAACGGTTTGTTGTAACAGAGTATAAAAAGTGTGAGGTGGAGTTTGTCTTCATTTGGTTAGTGTATTTAAATCTGCTAGTACATTTGATACAACCCGCTCCCCTCCCAGATTGACAAAGCTACTGTCTACTATGCCCCCTGTGCTCCTTCATGCAGAGTGGGGGCACTTTAATACAAGAGGTTTGTTACTGGCCAGATCACCAGGTGAAAAAACAGGGGGGAAAAAAAAGATCTAATGCAGCCACCACATCTAATGATTAATAAGCTGCAATATATTACATTTTTGTTTTTGGGTTTAAAAAGTGTTATTAAACCCAGGACCCTGCAGTCACTATATCTGGTCTCCCACAGTACATGCAATATGGAAATGCAATTATTTTAGTAAATATAAACTGCTAAATACCTTTTCTCATCAGCAGTATATAGCAGTCATGTGACTTTAGCTGAGCACTGGTTAAAGCTTGTAGGAGTTTTCTCTAGGAGGATGGAAATCACCTGACCTCTGTCTGGACAGTGCTGATTGGCCCTGTGCTGATCACATGCACTCTCCCAAGAAAAAAAAAAAACTCTCTAGCAATACACACTAAACTGAGCATGTGCAGAAGGGCACTGTTCAGTCTGTCTCATCAGCATGGGCATTTAAACAACAGGAGGGGCAGCGAATAAAAAATCAAACAGCCTTTTTACACAATGCAGAGGATTAACCCCTTAGGTTCCACAGTGAGTATAACAAGCATGCTTTCTGCATATACAGACTGATTTTACGGTTGTGGATTTAGTAACACTTTAATAACTCGTTAAAGCTGGGTTTCTCTATATTCCTTCCACTAGAGAAAGAGAAAACAACTTCTCCAAAATAAAACTTTTGTAAGCCCCGCTAAATCAGGATTAAGAGTAGCCCTGACCAAATATATAATTATGATCCAGCAAATGACTGAGGCACACAGCTGTCACAATGACTGCGACAATCCCCAACCGCGATCCAACCTGACCTGTTCTGTATGACCAATCTGCAGCCAAGGAAATGTAATACAGGGGATAAGGCAAGCAGCTAGCCAGATCCAACTATTTCATTCCTGGAACTCCAGTGTAGAAGGCATGAACTAAGCACCTTTGCCAATTCTCCATCATGTGAGGAAGCAAAATATAGTTAGGTCCATATATATTTGGACACAGGCACAATTTTCACACTTTTGGCTCTGTATGCCACCAGATTAATTAAAACAAAACAATCCAAGTTAATTTGAAGTGCAGACTTTCAGCTTTATTTCAAGAGGTTGAACAAATATCAAGTACAAATTCTCTCCATTTTCAAGGGCTCAAATGTAGTTGGACAAATGAATATCATAAAAAAAAGGTTCATTTTTAATATTTTATTGAGACTCCTTTACTGACAATGATTGCCTGAAGTCTGGAACCCATGGACATTACCAAAGAGTGTTTCCTCCTTTCTGATGCTTTGCCAGGCTCTAACTGCAGCTGTCTTCAGTTGTTCTTTGTTTCTGGGACTTTCTGCCTTTAGTTTTGCCTTCAGAAAGTGAAATGCATGCTCAATTGGGTTGAGAACAGGTGATTGACTCGGCCATTGCAGAATATTCCATTTCTTTTCCTTCAAAAGCTCCTTGGTTGCTTTTGCAGTGTGTTTTGGATCATTGTCCATCTGTACTGTGAAGCGCCGTCCAATCAACTTTGCTGCATTTGGCTGAATCTGGGCTGACAGTATATCTCTAAACACTGCAGAATTCATAAGGCTGCTTCTGTTACATCATCAATAAACACCAATGACCCAGTGCCACTGGAAGCCATGCATGACCATGCCATCACACTGCCTCCACCATGTTTTACAGATGACGTTGTGTGCTTTGGATCATGCGCTGTTCCGAGCCTTCTCCACACTTTTGTCTTCCCGTCATTCTGGTATAGATTAATCTTAGTTTTATCCATCCAAAGAATGCTTTTCCAGGACTGGTCTGGCTTTTTTAGATGTTTTTTGGCAAAGTCTAATCTGGCTTTTCTATTCTTCAAGCTTATGAATGGTTTGCACCTTGTGGTGAACCCTCTGTATTTGCTCTCGTGAAGTCTTCTCTTGATTGTAGACTTTGACAATGATACGCCCACCTCCTGGAGAGTGTCCTTCACTTGCCTGGCCGTAGTAAATGAATGGGTTTTTATTTACCATAGAGAGGATCCTGCGATCATCCACCACTGTTGTATTCCATGGACGTCCATGCCTTTTTATGTTGCTGAGCTTACCAGTGCGTTCTTCTTTCCTCAGAATGTACCAAACTGTTGATTTGGCCACTCCTAATGTTGCTGCTATCTCTCTGATGGATTTGTTTAGTTTTTGCAGCCTTACAATGGCCTATTTCACTTGCATAGACAGCTCCTCTGAACGCATGATGTAGGTTCACGGTAATAGATTCCAAATATCACACTTAGAATTAACTCCAGACCTTTTACCTGCTTAATTGATGAAGAAATAACGAAGGCGTAGCCCACACTTGGCCATGAAACAGATTTTGATTCAACTGTCCAATTACTATTGGTCCCTTTAAAAAGGGGGATGGCTACTCCTAAGAGCTGTAATTCCTAAGCCCTACATACCTTCAAAATTAAACCTGAGAGTGTGCACTTTCAGCCCATATCCATTATATAACTATAGCTTGAATATGTTTTGGTAAATACCTGAAAAAAACAAATTGTGCTTGTGTACAAATATATATGGACCTAACTGTATGTTCTTTCACACCACTTGCCCACCTTGTCCAGTGCTCCACTGTGATATCAGAGTCAATGAATGTCCATTTAAAGATGATAATCTGTCTTTCTCAAAAAAAAAAAAAAAAAGTTTGATCGACTCCTGTTGATATTTTGAAAAACTTTCCCTGATCAGCGGCTACAGCCAATCAGCTGCAACTGCTGATCAGTGTGGTCTGACAGTGGCAGGTTCCTCTGTCAGAAAGCAGTGTCCCTGCAGGGAAGGGGGTGGATTCCTCTTGTCCACCATGTTTGTACAGATGGAGGAATCTAGCCATACACTTCTGTTTTTTTAAACAAAGGGAGTGTATACGTGCACCTGTGGGCTTCCTGCTGGAATAGTTCAGGCACTTCCAGACCTGTGTCCAAACCCCCCACACAGAATCTCTCAGTTCAGAAAAGCAGGGGGTGGAGAGCTAAACTTACATCAGTGAGGAGAGTTCTGAGAGCTGATTGGACAGAAAGGAACCCCCCCCCCCCTTTCACAAAGTGCACAGGAACAGAGCCTAGGTTGTCAATCTGCTGGAGGTTCCTCCCATCACCATTTTTCGCTTGGTGTCAGGAAAGTTTTTCAGCAGTGAAGCATGCTGATAGCAGAGGAATGATCCAGCAGACAGAAATGACACTTAGTGCTCTAGATAGAGACATGTACACACTATAGAGGGATATGCTTTGTTTAAATTTCATGTCTCAGGTTTACAACCATTTTAAAAGAGAATTAAGGGATTTCCTTTTTTTAAGAAAAAAAATCATACTTAGGTGGATACAGCATCAGTCCCCATCAGCTCTAAGTGTGAGAACTCAGCAATCACATGACCTTGGGCTCACTGGAGCACTGGGCTGTGGAGGGGGAGGAAGCAGCTGGCTCAGGCTCTCAGCGGATCACTGAGAAGCTAAGCCAGGTGCCGCTCCAGACTCTGGGGTGGATTTCCCCAACCTGGACCGGCTGAGTGAAATCAACCGACAGCAGATTTCAGCCCGCTGTCAGCTGAAAGCGGGTCACAGGAGTGCAGAACGAACTGCACTCCTGTGGTCCACAGAATTACAGCCAAAAGAGCTTTGGCTGTACTTCTCCATAAGAATAGGTGCACTGCCATAGAAAGTACACGTATTCTTTTTGCCTCCCTCCCCTGAAAAAAAAACAGATCCCAACCCTTCACAGAGGCATATTAAATGAGGTCTGATGGTCACAGTCTCTGGACACTGATGACAGCCGAAGTGGTAAGTCCTGTCCTGGCTGCAGCTGCACAGCAGAGCTTTATAGAAGTTTCTGGGGCTTGACTCCTTGAGCAAATGGCTCCAACTGCAACTGTGCAGTACAGCCCAACAGATTTCTATAAGGCCGTATCCGGAGGCTGAAGACAAGGGGAGGCAGTGGAAGGCAGCAGCAAGTATGCATTGGTGGTGGGGAAGGATGGATTAGTTTAAAGCGGAGTTCCAGTCGCACTGTGAAAAAATAAGTCAGCAACTACAAAAACTGTAATGCTGACTTTTAAAAAACAGCCACTCACCTGTCCCACATTCCCGCAGTGTCCTTCCCGCAGCCCGTTTCACCAACCATCTGGTGTTCCAGGCACCAGCATCTTCAATGTGGGCACCCAGCTGCGACAGCTTGCGGCTTCTCAGCCAGGTGCCCGCTGTGCTTCCTGAATGGCCTCATAATCTTCTGGGACCTGTCACGTGTCCCAAAAGACTACAGGGAGGGAGAACACCTTCTGCTTCTGATCACAGACATATGACGTCCTCCCAGAACATGCCCTCCCGAATACCCCCAGGGGGGTGCGCACCTGGCAATCTCCCTGATCACTGTGTACTATGGACACAACTGATAACGTGATGTGGTAAAAGGCCAATCACAGCAGCCTTTTACCACGTGATTAGCTGTGTCCAATAACACAGCAGATCACCAGGTAAATACAGTTGCCGGTTATCAGCTGCACTTTTACTGCCGGCCATTGTCAGTGAACAGATCGGCACTGATGATCAGTGCTACCCAGAAGTGCTGCCAGTCAGTGCTGCCTAGCAGTGCAGCTTCATCAATACACATCAGTGAAGGAGAAAAATTACCTGTTTCCAAAAATTTATAATAGAAACAAAAACTTTTTCAAATTTTTTGCTCTTTTTTTTGTTTATAGCGCAAAAAATAAAACACCCAATGGTGAATAAATACCACCAAAAGAAAGCTCTATTTGTGTGAAAAATATACTAAAAGGGGGTAGAAATGCCCGGTAGGCAACTGGTTAATGGGGAGCCGGGGACAAGTCTTTAAAGCGGAACTTCCCCTTTTGGGTGGAGCTCTGCTTTAAGTGAGGGCAAGGGGACAGAGAAGCAGCAGTGTGAGCCATTGGCTCCTACTACTGTCAATCACAGTCAGTAAGGAGACATCGGGGGTCGAGGCAGAGCTGTGTGTGTCAGTGGACACACACAGCATGGCTCGGGATTGAGCCCATGTAAGTGCCCCCATAGCTATGGGGGCACTTGGCGGGTAAGAGGAGCTAGGAATGCCAGCAGGGCACCCCTGAAAAGGATCTGTACAAATCCATTACATGGAGAAGAAAAGTATAACATGTTTTTTAAAAAACAAATATCCTTTAGAATGACTTGAAGTCAAATACTGTTTATTTTGCAGTTTGGGATAGAGAGGAGAGGGATTACACCATCTCTCAGGTTTTTATTGCTGTCAATGTCCCCATTAGGGAGATCCCCCTTCTGTCTCTCCTGGTTACTACCATCATTGAGACTGAAATAAACCTGATTCTGGGTAGTCACCAGAACAGGAAGTGTTGTTGTGTCACTGTTGTGGCCTGGGGACAGGAAGTGAAGGAAAATCTCCCCAAAAGGACTCAGATGGTAAAAAGTTAGTTTTTTTTTGTCTCTTCTCCACGGAGGGGGTGATGTGGCAGCCCAGCTCCAGGAATGGCTCCCCATGGCAGTCCCTCACCAAGGACTAAAGTGTGTTGTGTGCCTACATGGAGTGCACCGACCTACAATGGCGGATGAAGCTCTCACCTTCGGGAACCAGGCTTTCTTGTCATGGTCCCATTCATACTCAGTGCCATCAGTGGGGTCCTTAAAGGTATACGGATCCTGCCCGTCCCCCCGGTCACGGTTCCCATACAGCTCCTGAAGCCGCAGCTGCTCGTAGAAGGCTTCGTTGCTGTCCATGTTCTTCTGGGCACCTACAGGAGCACTACAAATCCCAGCTACTCCACTTCACACTGCCCCTATACCCCACACTCTACAGATGGGCTCTGAGCATGCGTACCGCGCAAATCCCCGTGCGTAGTCAGTCGGCGCAGACACATTAAAGCCATAGCACGCATGTGCATCATTTCCCTACGTTCTCGAATGCTCACGCACACCACTAGTGTCTGATAAAGATGTCCGTAAGATACAATAGAGCTCAGCAGAGTCGCCATTTTTTGTTGTAGACTGGAGTTTACCGCTAACTTATAACGCGAAATACAAGTTTGGAAGTGTGAGTGGAGTGCAAGTAGACAAACTGGGAAAGAGTTAATTAGATGAAACACTACAAATTATATTTTTGCTGTATGAAAAATAAACCCTTTGTATTTATAGCATATTAAAGTAGAACTGTGGAATATTAAAGTAGAAAGTGGAAGCAAAGTAACTTTGTATATTTTTCCATACAGGTAAGTGTACAATAAAGCTTACCTGTATTTATTTATTTCATGTACTTATATAGCGCTGTCAATTTTACACAGTGCTTTACAAATATATATTGTACATTCACATCAGTCCCTAACCCTCAATCTAAGGTCCCTAACTCACATTCATATACAAGGGACAATTTAGACAGGATCCAATTAACCTACCAGCATGTCTTTGGAGTGTGGGAGGAAACGGGAGTACCCATGGGAAACACACACAGGAACAGGGAGACCATGCAAACTCCAGGCAGGACTTGCCGTGGCTGGGATTTGAACCAACGACCCCAGTACTGCCAGGTGGAAGTGCTAACCATTAGCCACTGTGCTGCCCCGTAGGTAAAATGAACATCTAAAGCTCACAGTTTAGCAGCTATTCTATGGAGCAGGGGCCAGTGACAATACCTGCGAATGTAGTGTGAAGGAACGGCATACCCATGTCATTCCTTCAACCGTGGCCCAAACTCCTGTGGCAGCACCCAGATATGGCAGAACTCCCCTTTAAACTCTAACACTTCTATCAGCCTGTGTTTGTAGAACCAAGGTTTTTGGCTCATCCCCCCACCTTATTTTTTTGTGAGTATTATGTGTACCGGTTCGTAGCTGGTATTTTTTATCTGCAGCTGCTGTCCAAAGTTAGGGCTTAAAATTTCGAGTCCAGACCTACTAGCCAGGCACAAACCTTACTCTCCATCAGTTGCCACACCCTTTCTTGCCCAGGTCTGCCTCCAACCCCACCCCTGGCCCATCCCTCAACCCCAGCTCTGCCCTAACCACGCCCCCTTAAAGCTTATGAAATTAAATTTTTCTTTAGAATAGAGTCCAAAATATAAAAAACTGCAATTATAACATAGCTTTATTATGTCAATTTAAACATAACAGCAATAGCTTAATAGCAATAGGGTGCAATCAAAATATCAAGTTTTACAGCTTTAAACATGTAGTGAACATTTTGTATTTTTTGGGTTTATCTCCTGCATCTTTAAAAAGAGACTTTAGTAATTAAAGTCTCTTTTAAAAGATGTAAGTTTAGTTTACAGAAGTATAGCATAAGAAAAAGTGCTTATTTTGATGCCAAAAAACATGGAATAATAGTTACTGTAAACATGTTGTATTTTTTTTATCTCCAGCAGAGACTTTAGAGAAGTGTGGCATTAAGAAAAGAGTGCCTCTTTTGATGGCCAAAAAACATTGCATAAATAAATAACAATAGTAGATAGCCAGTTTCACATCAAGATTTGCAATGGTTTTCGTTGTACAGCAGGACCAAGACTTGTGTAATACCCTTTTTCTGATGCACCCGCGGTGGTGGAGAGGGTGTCTCCTCTCAGTGGAGGAGAGTGGACCTCTCCTGCACCTGTCCCCACAGCGGCGCTGTAATGGCAGTGCCGAAGAAGCCGGAAACCGAAGTTGGAATCCGGAACTCGGCTTCACAATGAGGCTTGGCGTGTGCAGTCACAGCCCTGCTGGGCACTGATAGGTGGCACTGCTGGGCACTAATGGCTACAACTGTTGGACACTGGTGGGTGGCACTTCTGGTGTTTTTAGAGTTCAATGAGTGTGTGTGTGTATATATATATACAGTGGGAATCGAAAGTTTGGGCACCCCAGCTACAAATTTGTATTAATGTGCATAAAGAAGCCAAGGAAAGATGGAAAAATCTCCAAAAGGCATCAAATTACAGATTAGACATTCTTATAATATGTCAACAAAAGTTCGATTTTATTTCCATCATTTACACTTTTAAAATAACAGAAAACAAAAAATGGCGTCTGCAAAAGTTTGGGCAAGGTCAGATGAGTCTGGGCATTAAAACCTTTGAGATTGACATCACCTGGTCTTCCCAGACGATGATTGAGAACAATCCATGACACTGGCAGGTCTCAGCTTTGCAAAGGGGGCAGTGCATGCTGCTATAAATTCTGCAGGGTGCCCAAACTTTTGCAGACGCCATTTTTTTGCTTTCTGTTATTTTGAAAGTGTAAATGATGGAAATAAAATCGAACTTTTGTTGACATATTAAAAGAATGTCTAATCTGTAATTTGATGCCTTTTGGAGATTTTTCCATCTTTCCTTGGCTTCTTTATGCACATTAATACAAATTTTTAGCTGGGGTGCCCAAACTTTCGATCCCCACTGTATGTGTGTGATTATCTCTCTTCCCTCTCTCTTTCTTCTTCTCTCTTTCTCTCTCTCTCTTTCTCCTTCTTTTCTCTCTTCTCTCTCTCCCCCCTCTCTCTCTTCCCTCTCTCCACTCTCTCTCTCTCTTCTCACTCTCTCCCTCTCCCCTCCACTCTCTCTCTCTCTTCTCACTCTCTCCCTCTCTTCCCTCTCTCCACTCTCTCTTCTCCCTCTCTCCCTCTCTCTTCCCTCTCTTTTTTTCTCTCCCTCTCTCTTCCCTCTCTCTTTTTCTCTCCCTCCCCCCCTCTCTCTCTAGCAAATAATCTAGCAAATGCCACCCCCCTTTCCAAAATCCACATTACACTTCCTTGAAAAAGTGGAGAGGAAAGAGCCAGGAGGAGGTGAGCTGTGTTGTGTTTTCTAGGCTCTCCCTCCTGTCGTCCATCCAGCACATGATACACAATCACTGATAGATCATATGGGACTGTATACAAACACACAGTATGATTACCTCCCACCTCCTCCAAGGGTTGCTGATCTCTGGGCAGCAGAAAAATGTGGGCAGGGGGTGGTAATCATACTGTGTGTGTGTGCAGTCACAGCCCTGCTGGGCACTGATGGGTGGTACTCCTGGGCACTGATGGGCACAACTGCTGGGCACTGGTGGGTGGCACGTCTGATGTATTTAGGTTTTGTGCTGCCCTAGGCAACACAAAAATTGTGTGCCCCCCCCCCCTTCACAAGAGAGCGAGAGTTCAATGAGTGTGTGTGTGTATATATATGATTCTCTATCTCTTCCCTCTCTCTTCCCTTTCTCTTTCTCTCTCTCCCCCTCTCTCTTTCTCTCTTTTTTTCTCTCTCTCTCTCCCCCCCCCCCCTCTCTCTCTCTCTCCTCTCTCTCTCTCTTCTCTCTCCTCTCTCCCTCTCTCTTCTCTCTCTTCTCCGCTTTCTCTTCCCTCTCTTTCTCTGTTTCCTCTCTCTTTCTCTCTCATTCTTCCCTCTCTTGTTTCCCTCTCTCTTTACTACCTTCTGCATGAGAGAGCGAGAGAGTTAAATGAGTGTGTGTATATGATTATCTCTCTCTTTCTCTCTTCCCTCTCTCTTCTCTCTCTCCCACTCTCTTCTCTCTCTCTTCTCTCTGGGTTCCCTCTCTCTCTCTTCCCCCTCTCTCTTCTCCCTTTCTTTCTCTTTCTCTCTTCTCACTCTCTATTCTCTCTCTCTCTCTTCCCTCCCTCTTCTCTCTCTCTTCTCTCTCTCTCCCCCTTTCTCTCTTTCTCCCCTCTCTCTTCTCTCTCTCTTCTCTCTCATCTCCCTCTTTCTCTCTTTCTTCCCTCTCTCTTCTCTCTCTCTCTCTCTTTTCCCTCTCTCTATCTTCCCCCCTCTATCTTCCCTCTTTCTTCTCCCTCTCTATTCCCTCTCTCTCTTCTCCCTCTCCTTCTCTCTCTCTTCTCCATCTCTTTCTCGCTCTCTCTTCTCCCTCTCTCTTCCTTCTCCCTCTCTCTTTCTTCTCTTTAACTCTCTTACTTATCTTTCTCTCTCTTCCTTCTCCCTCTCTCTTCCCTCTCACTCTCTCTTCCCTCTCTCTCTCCCCTCTCTAGCTCTCTTTCCTTTCTATCACTTCCCCCCTCTCTCACTCTCTCTTCCCCTCTCTCTTCTCTGTCTTTCCCTCTCCCTCTCTCTCTCTCTTTCTCTTCTCACTCTTTCTTCTCTCTCTTCTCCCTATCTCTTCCTTCTCTTTCTCTCTCTTCTCTCTCCCCCTCTCTCCTCCCCTCTCCCCCCTCTCTTCTCCCTCTCTCTCTTCCCTCTCTCTTCCCCTCTCTCTTCCTTCTCTTTCTCTCTCTTCTCCTCTCTTTTTCTCTCTCTTCCCTCTCTCTTTCCCTCCTCTCTCTCTCCCCCTTTCTTCTCTCTCCTCTCTCCCCTCTCTCTTTTTTCCCTTTCTTCTCTCTCTTTTTTCCCTCTCTCTCTCTCCCCTACTAGCACATATTTCCCCCATTCCTCCTAGCAAATACCACCCCTCCTTCCCAAAATCCACATTACACTTCCTAGAAAAAGTGGAGAGGAAAGAGCCAGGAGGAGGTGAGCTGTGTTGCGTTCTCTGGGCTCTCCCTCCAGTCGTCCATCCAGCACATGACACATGGTCACTGATAGATCGTATGGGACTGTATACACACACACAGTATGATTTTCTTTTACTTTCAATTCTTTTACTTTTCAATTTCAGTGATAATAGTAAACAGGATAAATTGAGAGGTTGGATCTCTCTAACGGGGGCACAGAAAGCAATACAAATCTGACAGCGGTTCTAATCCATCGCTCCACGCCACTCAAAACTAAAAAAACATTTTGCCTTTATTTATACTTTAAAATAATGCTTTTCTTTATATTTTGGCTGGAATAACAGAAGGTTATAAACCCAGTCAGTTTTTTTGTACCATATGTGTTTCACTAGGGAGATTTCCCTTCACTTTCTTTCCCATAGCTGAGTGAGAGGAAATCCCTCCAGAGTGAGCCTTGCCTTTACTTATATTTCTACCTTTTCACTGTCAGAACCATTTTTGCATCTTGTGCATACGTTTAAAAAATCATTTCAGGCAAACCCCCAAAACATTATATCTTTTCTGAAAGCAGACACCCTAGAGAATAAAATAGTGGTAGTTGCAATTTTTTTTGCAACACAGTCTAGGAAAAGCAACATTTCAGTAATGAATACACTAAAGTTAATTTTAGGGCACACAAATGCAATAAATTACACTATTTTTTTGTAAAATATAAAAAATGAGGCTGTACTGGGTAAATACAATCATGGCCAAAAATATTGGCACCCCTGCATTTCTGTCAGAAAATGCACCACATCACCCAGAAAATTGTTGCAGTTACAAATGTTCAGGCATTCTGATGTTTATTTCTTTTGTTGTATTGGTATGACACAAAAAAGTGGAGAAACAAAAAACCAAATCTGAAACATTCCATGCAAAACTCCAAAAATGGACTGGACAAAACTATTGGTATCTTCTCAAAATTGTAAAAAAAATTAATTGCTTCCCAGTTTGTGATGCTCCTCTAATTTATAACTAAACTCACCTGTATTAATTAACAGGTGCTGACAATATAGACATCACACCGACAACCAGTTAAAATGGTGAAAACTTGACTCAACCTGTCTGTAGTGTGTCTCTGTGTGCCACATGAAGCATGGAGAAGAGAAAGAGCAGCAAAGAATTGTCTGAGGATTTGAAAACAAAAAATGTAGAAAAGCATGGGCAATCTCAAGATTACAAGTCCATCTCTAGAGATCTTAATGTTCCTGTGTCCACTGTGCGCAACATTGTCAAGATGTTTACAGTCCATGGTACTGTAGCTAATCTCTCTGGATGTGGATGAAAGAGAAAAATTGATCAAAGATTGCAACAAAGGATTGTTCATATGGTGGCTAAAGAATCTCATCAACCCTGATCAACTTCTAGACAAATTCAAGCTGACCTTGGGCACAGGGTACAACTGTGACAGCTTGCACTATACGTCGCTATCTGAATGAAAAGGGACGCTATGGTAGGAGGACCCCACTGCTGACACAGAAACATAAAAAAGCCAGATTAGAGTTTGCCAAAACTTACCATAAGAAGCCAAACTCCTTTGGGAGAATGTGCTGTGGACAGACAAAACAAAATCACAGCTTTTTGGTAAAGCCCATCAGTCTACTGTTTTCAGAGAAAACAGTGAGGCCTTTAAAGAAAAGAATACAGTCCCTACAGTCAAGCATGGTGGAGGTTCACTTATGTTTTGGGGTTGCTTTGTTGCTTCAGGCACTTGATGTCTTGATCGTGTGCATGGCATTATGAAATCTGAAGACTACCAAAGAATTCTGGGGTGCAATGTAGGGTCCATTGTCAGAAGTATGGGTCTCCATCAGAGGCCATTGATCTTACAGCAGGACAATGACCCAAAGCACACTTCGAAAAGCACCCAGAAATGGTTTCAGACAAAGTGCTGGAGAGTACTAAACTGGCCAGCAATGAATCCAGATCTCAATCTCATAGAGCACCTGTGGAGAGATCTCAAAACAGCAGTTGGGAAAAGGTACCCTTCCAATCTGAGAGATCTGGAGCAGTTGGCGAAAGAAGTGGTCTGAAATTGCAGAAGTGAGGTGTAAGAAACTCATTGATGGTTACAGGAAGCAACTGATTTCAGTTATTTTTTCCAAAGGGTGTGCTACCAAATATTAAATTGAGGGTGCCAATAAATTTGTCCAGTCCATCTTTTGGGTTTTGCATGGAATGTGTCAGATTTGGCTTTTTGTTTCTCTATTTTTTTGTGTCATACCAATACAAACAAAAGAAATAAACATGAGAATGTCCAAACATTTGTAATAACAACAATTTTCAAATGAGTACTTCCATACCTGGGATTGTAGTTGTACCTCTCCAGCCGAGCTTCCACAGGCATTTCTCTTCATGTCCATAACACATAACACCTTTGAGGCCTAGTAACAGTAGCTTCTTAAGGTCACACATGCTTCCTCCCAGAGGGGGGAAGCCCCAGGGGAGAGAGACCCTGATCAGATCCTCCCAAATATTTATCTTCTCCTGAGCCACACCTTCTGTGTCAGCCTCCAAAGGATTGGCTAGAGTCCAATAAACATACATAACCCCAGATCTTCCTACACTATTGCTGGAATATTCTTCCTGAGGGGGTGAATATTCTTCCCTATGCTGCCTGAGAGGGTGACTTTGTGGCTGTACAGGGGACTGGATTTAGGGCCCAGCCTGTGGATCAAGAAGCCATGGAAAATCCCCAGATGTCTCAAGGGGCCAGGAGAAGCCCAGATGTACAGCTTGGTTTTGACTGGAGTTTGGCGTCTTCTATCCAAGGTGCTGGCAGCTGATCTAACAAGTGCTTTACAGTCAGGAACTACCATCACAGAAGGCCGGGTCGTCTTCAAGGTCCTCTATGTGTGAAGACTGTTTGAGTGTGTGGAGATTCAGTGTGAGCAATAAACACCTTTTTGTTTTGCACCTTAAACTGAATGGTGCCAAGGGCCGACTAATACAACTCATGGGGCACCCAGGCAATAGGAGATCATGTGGCTCCCACTTTCAAGCCACACCCACACAAATCCTCACCTACATATTGCACTGCTCACATTACATGCATTCATCACAGAATTTCTCTATACTATGTGCAAAATAAATGTTTATAAATTAAGAAAATAAAGAAAATAAACTTACTATAAAGAGTAACCCCACTTTTGTTGAGAAAAAATAATTCCATTCTGAGTGATCTATGTATGTGCAACCCACTGAAATGTTATTATTTACAATACATTAAATTGGACATTAGGTGGTGGTCGCCTGTCATTCAGGTTCACTCACAAGGACAGAACAGCTCTCTGGAACTTGTATGCTGCACAGCAGGACTCAGCTGGTGAGGAGGGCAGTCAAGGACTATATTTCCCAAGAGGGGTACTGTGTGGACTCAGAAATATAAATATCAAAGCCTGAGAAATTGGGCAGGAGAGCGTGGGGAGAGGCTGAAGGAGAAGGAAGTGTGCTAATGGCTAAAGTGCTGAACTAGATGCTGAGCCAGGGTTGGAGAGAGAGGAAGAACAGAAACAGCTTACTGACCACCTGGCCTGCCACGCTGCCCAGTAGGTTAATCTGACAGCAAGAGACGGGACACCGAGTCTGACCTGGAGAGTTCGTGGACTGACCCTGTTTGCAAAGAAAGACAGACTGCTATGATCTCAGGACTACTTTGATTGGGTGAGGCAGGGCCATCTTTAAGGAGGGGCAAAAGGGGCAGCTGCCCTGGGCACAGTTCGTTGTTGTGGAGCCCAGAACAGCTGCCCATACTTGCCAACTGTCTCGGTTTACATTCTCTTGTCTCAAAAACTTGTACTTGCCATCTGTCTCGGTTTACATTCTCTTGTCTCAAAACAGCTGCCCATACTTGCCAGCTGTCTCGGTTTACATTCTCGTGGTCCCGTGCTGTGTCCAGATATCTCAATGTATAGTGCTGTCACTTATGCTGCCCAGTTCTGCCCTTTTGTCATGTACAGATGACTCACATGTGCAGACCATGTCAGCATTCACCCTTAAATTACTGCATTCATATGTAAATAGTGGTGGCAATGTGGCATGGATATGTAAATAGCGGCAGCATTCAAATGTTTATTATGCCCACCTGAGGTTCCAGCCATCATCTCCTTTGCTGAATGCTGCCCCCTGGGGAGCTAAACAGGGGCATGCTGGAAAGTCCTGCCTGCAACTGTGGTCACTGAGCCTACCATCATCCTGTTTTGCAAATGTAAGAAAAGTGAAGGGGGGGTTGCAGAGGTAGGCAGAAAAGGAATTACAGTTCGAGTGCACAGATGAGCAAGGAGGGGTGTCCAGAGGTAAGGAAGGTGGGTGCAAAGATGAGCAGAGGAGGCATGTAGAGTTAAAGAGGAGTTCCAGTCACTGTGAAAAAATAAATGTCAGCAGCTGAATGACGGCTACAGTGTGGTTGTCTAGTTCTGGGAGGGTGTCACATGACGTGCATGTGACACCTACAGACACAGCTGATCATGTGATGTGGTAAAAGGCCAATCACAGCGGCCTTTTACCACATGATCAGCTGTGTCCAACTACACAGCATATCACTGGGTAAATACGGTTGCCGGTTATCAGCTGAACTTTCCGCACATGTCACATCGTGAGGAAAGTACTGCCGATAACCGGCAATTGTCAGAGAACAGATCAGCACTGCTCATCAGGGCACTGATCATTAGTGCCCTGATGATCAGTGCCCAGCAGTGCCGCCTACCAGTGCTACCCATCAGTCAGTGCCACCCACCTGTGCCCATCAGTGCCCAGCAGTGCCACCCAACAGTGCCACCCACCATTGCCCAGAAGTACCCGCCATCAGTGCTACCCAGCAGTGCCACCAGTCAGTGCCAATTAGTGCTGCCCATCAGTGCTGCCTTTCAGTGCCCATCAGTGCCGATTATCATTGCCCATCATTGCTGCATATCAGTGCAGCATCATCAGTGCCGCCTATCAGTGCCCATCCATGCTGCCTATCCATGCCACCTCATCAGTGCTCATCAGTACTGCCTATCCGTGCCACCTCATTATTGCCCATCAGTGCTGCCTATCAGTGCCCATCAGTGCTGCCTATCAGTGCAGCCTAATCAGTACACATCAATGAAGGAGAAAAATTACCTGTTTGCAACATTTTATAATAGAAACAAAGAAAAACTTTTTTTTTTTTCAAATTTTTTGCTCTTTTTTTGTTTATCATGCAAAAAATAAAACACACAGTGGTGACTAAATATCACCAAAGGAAAGCTCTATTTGTGTGAAAACAATGATAAAAATGTCATATGGGTACAATACAATATTGCATGAAAGCGCAATTGTCATTCAAAGTGCGACAGCGCTCAAAGCTGAAAATTGGCCTGGGCAAGAAGGGGTATACGTGCCCAGTAGGCAAGTGGTTTTTTAAAGGGACAGTGCTCAATTTCATATGAGAATTCTCTTTCCTTCACATCTAATCTTTGTCATCCAGTTCTGAGGACCCACAGTGAGTTTACCTGTTTCTTGATAGTTATTTCTGCTCACTGGGGATTTGCAGTCCCCTCAGATTGGAGGTAGTGGATTATATGCAGGCCTGCTAACAGTTATTGTTGTTTTATGGTGAATGTTGTTAGTTTTGTTCACAATTGCCAAGAGTGATTATATTTCTGCATATATTGGTGTTGTTTTGTTCTTTTAGAACAAATTACTTTTAATTACAATATAAACTTCATATTGGTTTATCCTGACTTGTGTGTGAGTCCATTTTACAGTTGTGATTTTCTTTGGTCACGAAAGCACGGTGGTGTCAGCAGAGGCTGATCTTCCAACAAAAGGTTCAGATTGACAGGGAACCCCCCAAAAATGACTAAGCAACCATTAAGGGAGTAGTGCTACATATATTGCAAGTATTTTAATAAACTTTGTTGCAAAGTCCTACCTTTTGTTATTCTGAAAAAAAATGTTGTTTGTTGTCTGTGTTAATGTGCAAAGTGACTCTGTATGGGAGTGGTTTTATAATTATCAATCAGCTGCTATACCTGCAGGGCTCTAATGAGGAAAGTGGCAGTGTCTGCATCCCTTGATTTCCCTTTGGGAGTATCTCACCAAACATGACATTTTTGTTGCAGGGGATGCCAAAAATCTGACTTGTATCCTAGTGTGACTTCTGGGAAAATCAGTTAGTCAATCACATAAACAGGAAATTACATTTTCAGGGGCGTTCTGTACACCATCTGAGTACAGAACATCTCCAGGTAGCCATATCGCATTGCATTTTACAGAAAATTACAGACTAAAAAGGAAAGGTTATTTTTAATAAAATTCAATTACAAAATGACTTGAGCCGCAATTGTATGCACTATATATATTTATCCTGTATAATAATAATTATATATATATATATATCCTGTATAATAATAATATTTGTTTTTTATTTGCTAATTTTTTTTTTCCCACGACAGTGGAGTTACCCTTTAAAGAAAGTGCAACAATGGTGCATTTTCAAAATTAAGGTTTTAATAAATTAACACAATATAACGAGAGCAACAAATGTCTTCTTAGCTGAACATTATAACAAGATAACAAAATACAGAATAAAAACTTATATCACAGAAAATACAAGTGTCTTTCTATTACCTAAATGAGAGCAGCAATTTCAGCACATTACTATAGTGGATCATAACTACTACTAGGGGCCCCCTACTGGCCCTAGGTCCTCAGGCAGTGCCTGAACGGTCAGTCTGCCCCTCACTGGCACCCATCTGTACACATCCCACTATTGCCTAAGTAATCTACACCCTGAGGTGAAGTGTTGGCCTGTTCTGCCTCTGCAGTACCACCAGGCCAGGGGGATGCTACACATATTGCTACATTTAGCCATCCCAGGACAGGGTGCTACATACGGTATATCTGTTTTGTAAACTAGAGTCATTTCACATTACTGCAATAAAATTGCAGACCTCTGCAGACACTGGGCTTTAGTTACTAAGGTGTCCGTTTATGAACCAGCAGTAATAGATCGCTGCTCAGTTCTCCGGCATTCTTGGAGAACACAGTTCTCCTGTGAATGCCGTTTATGAAGCATATGTAGATCAGTTCTCCAAACGAAGGGAGAACGGTCTACAAACGCTGGAAAACGGCTGATTTTACTATAATTTCGCGAGATTACAGTAAAAGATCAGTTTACTAAGCAGAGGTAAATTATCTCTGCTTAGTTTGCGGTCCCTCCAATTCCCCAGCTCTGGGCTGGAGAATCTGGAGGGAGAACACAGATCTCCAGTGAAGGGCTGAACATGTTCTCCGCTGATCTCCTGAGTGTTATAAACTGTGAATGACCAGAGAGTAGCTGCGATCCTCTGAATCACAGCTATTCTGTGTCATAAAAGGACACCTATAGCTGGAGAGTGCAAAATCAGGCTCACTTCTGCATAGAAACCAATCAGCTTCCAGGTTTTATTGCCAAAGCTTAATTGAACAAGCTGAGGTTAGAAGCTGATTGGTTTCTATGCAGAAGTGAGCCTGATTTGTACTCTCCAGCTTTAGTAAATTTACCTCTGTGTATTAGCTCATTTTTTAATAATAATTTTACAACCATTAGCAGAAGTAAAAAACAAGAAACGGGATGATTTATAGACTGTTCATTTTTCTAAAATAAAAAAGAGAAATCTGCCTAAAATACAACTTTTTTGTAACCATCTGCAAGTCAACATATGGTGGTTTGAAAAAGCATCTGCTGCCCACAAAAAAAAGGTAAATTCCAATGTTTTAGGGCCAGTTCACACTACATGCATTTCACTTGCTTTTTTTATGCATCCAAAATGCACAAAAAGTAGGTTATATGGTTGACAATGTCATAGCTCACATCAGTGCTTGCAGTTCCAGTGCGTTCCAGTTAAGAAAATAAAAGTAGAGCAGGCTGCATTTTTCCTGCACAGAACTGTACTGAAACGCGGTAAAATGCATAAAAAAAAGTACCAGAACCCACTGGAATGCATCAAAACGCACCAAAAATGCACATGTCCCTATTTAAATTGAAGAAAAAGAGAGGGGGGAAAAATAAACAGGAAAGCATGAAAAACGCACTGGAACGCATCAAAAACATGCATGCAGAAATGCATCCAGAAAAACATCTGGACTGCGTTTCTATAGTGTGAACTGGCCCTTAGTGTATGATAAGCTTTGGTTTAAAATTGTATGTAAAGTCAAACCTTTTGTTTATTTGCATGGAATAGTGAAGAGTTGAAACCTCCATCAAATTTTTTTTACCAACTAAGGCAAATTCCCTTACCTTCCTGTCCTACATGCTAAACAGGAAGCAAGAGGAAATTGCTGCAAAACGAGAGTAATGTTCTCTTAGATTGTTGACACTACACATGCCTCTATTGGTACATTTCCCCCCTACCTCCTGCTGTTCATAGTTTTGTCTTTTCCTTAAACTTCAGCCCCAGCAACAAAGGTTACCAGGAAAAATAGTGTGGATCTCCCTAGTTGAGACACAAACCGCAATAAAAAACAGAGGTTTAAACTGCCCCCTACTCTATTCAAAACTAAAATGAAAGAAAAGCGTTTTGGCTTTAAAAACATTGTATTTTATAGTTCTAATGTGGGGTGATCTGACTGATTGTCCTGAAAAATACACTGACACTTGGGGGTCACAATAAAATAACAAGTTTATATTTATTGAGCCTGCCTCTTTCTGAAAACCATGGTCATCTAATCAAAGTATGGAAAGATGGTGCTTTTATATGTCTATTTGCAGCTATAACTTTTTTTTAAACCATAAACTCACGGCCTGAATGTCAAAAACGTCCTTTTACCCCTTTTTGAGTTGACAAATATATTTATATAACAATGAGAGTGTCTTCTGCCTGAAACATGTGGTCCGTGTTCATGGCAGAAAGTATGGCCCCTTTCACACGGATGTTCCGATTAGGTCTGTCTGCATATTTTTCAGGCAGATCCAATTAGAACCTCTATTCTCCTCTAACCCTTTGAGGATCAAGGGACGTATTTGTCCCATGTTTTTAATTGCCTGTATCCTCTGATTAAGAACTTAAAATACTTTTTTTTTTGGTTTGAGTCAAAATATTAGTTCTTATCAACAAATGGATCTAGCTTTTTGCCAATTATTTCATGAAATGGCTTAGTCACAGCAACTGAAGTGTACAAACTTTAAAAACAAAAAATTGATTCTTTTGGCGTTCTGTAATCGTTCCGTAATCTTATGGTCCTCAAAGGGCTAAGGAGTGCACCCCGTGTGAAAGAGGCCTATGTTACCAGCACACCAAGAATCTCCAAAGCAGGTCAAAATATTTTAGTGATCACAGCAAAATGACAGCAGCAACGTTTGGGGGCCTCACAGGACCCCTTCATCAGGCATGTGACGATCAGGCTTTGAAACATTGCTTCTGTCATTACAATGTGAATGCTGAGTAAAGCTTTCTACTTGCTTTGAAGATCCTTGGTATACTAATGACATACTTTCTACTTTGGATGTCTTCAGTTTCAAGCTGATGGTCATTGCAGCACCCACTTACATTTATAGCCATTTGCAGGAACGTGTGCTTTGGGAATATTGAGCTTGAACCTGTGTCCACGGCAGATACATGCTTATGTTTACAAATACAGCATATACCACAAGATGTGTTATCTACGTTTTAGTTTTGAGTTGGGCATTGCATCTGTGGAACTTAGATAACAAAGTAGTTTGTGAAGGCTTTACTGAGAAATAGCCTTTTCTTTGCTAAATTTAAAAAAATGATAGCAAAAAACGCTTTCCTTTTGATATTTGTTGTATGTGTTTCTATTTTGTTCTAACATTAAAATGTAATAAAACAAAACAATAAAGCCACAAGAAAGATCAAAATATTTAATGCATATTAGCTTTTATTTTTCATGATCCCAAAATACTCATTATGATTAACCAGAAAAAA